AATCTAATGTTGACCCAAGGATTAAGATTTGCAAACCTGATTTCTGTGCATGTATAATAAATCACTTGCGAGCAACCACAGATTTTGTTCCCAGCTGGTTGCATCCAACAGGTGTGTCCGTGAGACATTTATGACCGTGAGACATAAATATTCCCGTGGCTTTGATCAGCTTCCATTACAGGTCAGCAGACGTCTCTAGCTGGCCTTGGCTAGAGGTCAAACAAAAGCTGCCTTTGTCTTTTTTTTAGTCAACCGTCTAAGAATAAAGTTGGCATCCCAGGTATGGTGCACTGTTCCTGTCTCCTCATGGTTATATCCCCTGTTAATGTTTAAGGGTCAACTTTATTTGTGTGTGTGTGTGTGTGTGTGTGTGTGTGTGTGTGTGTGTGTGTGTGTGTGTGTGTGTGTGTGTGTGTGTGTGTGTGTGTGTGTGTGTGTGTGTGTGTGTGTGTGTGTGTGTGTGTGTGTGTGTGTGTGTGTGTGTGTGTGTGAGAGAGAGAGAGAGTGAGTGTGTTGTTCTGACTTTGCGATGTGTACGTGTGTGTAGTTTGATACGTGGAAATTGTGTCAGGATAATACTCTAAATCACGCCATTAGTCCAGCTGCATAGCAGGAGCACAAATACACATATCCCCCGTTGTCTGCCTGGCCTTGTGTTGTGCTTACATAAAGAGACAAATGAAGGACTAGATATTTAGAAAAGGATTAGCAAACTAAAGAAAGGGTCCAGTCGGCTCATCTGAAGCATGTACCTCAAGGCAGCCTGCGGTGAGATCCCTGTGCCGAGGCAGAGAGGGGGGCCAAGGCTGAATCGCTGTCCCAGTTCCATCCAGCAGAGGCAGGGGGCAGGAGCAAGGCTGTACATCTCCAGCCCTGCCAGCTGTCTTCCAGGAAGTTGTGAAACCAGTGCACCTCCGCAGCACCAGAGCGTAGATGAACTTCTTCACGCGCGTTCTCTTTTTTTCCACAGAGCTGCTGATGCTGATGACAGCATGGTCTGCAGGTAGGATTCTCCGTTCTGCAGTGAGGACGAGTATTTCTGATAGCGTCTGTAACAAACATAGCTTTAAGATAGTATTTGTTTTTGTATGATGACAAACATCTAGGTGAGATTAAAAATGCACTCCAAAACAAAAGCTCAGGCCTCCAGAGGTTGAATGTTGCATGCTACGATGTAGTTACGCTTTTTATTTTATATTTTATCATTTGCATTATCCTTTAAAGAGAGACTTGCTTTACACAAGATTCTCTTTACTTGAATCCACTTTATTTTACTGCATGTGGTGCTATTCTTATACCTGCATGGACTTTTACACTCCTGGGGCAAACAAACCAAATCCTGTTTGTCTACCCCCCCCCCCCCCCCCCCCCACCACCACCACCACCACCACACACACACACACACACACACACACACACACACACACACACACACACACCTCCCAGGTGTACAATTTATCAGTTACTAGGAGTCAATAAATGTCTAATTATGCGTGTGACACTTAACAGGTGTCCGCTTTTGTCTGATTTGTCAGCGTGGATCTAAAGTGACAGAAAGTGATGACAGGAGTGACAGATGGTTGCCCTTTCCTTTGCTGTCTAAACCGTATTCAACATTCTGGCCTCATGCGTCTGACTCAAAGTCAGCCTTCTTCTAAATTTCTGTTTCACTAAGTAAAATTTGCCAGGCTCTATTGCTCCGATCATTATTTCTGGACAGAGATCTTACTGGGACAAGTCCTTCTGCAGGGCCCTGTGCATCACAATGAGCTGAACTGCCGATCTAATCAGCACTTCAGAGGAAGGTTAGTGAACTCAGAGAGGAGGACTGTTGTGCTGATGTGGAGAGGAGAACATAACTCAGACGGGGGGAGGGGGAGGGGGGCAAAAAGCAGCAGCAGTGACACTGACATTTTACTGGGCTGCAATTACGTGACAGAAAATAGAGCAGAATATATATTTTCTTGCAGGGACTCAAAAATACTGCTGTTGCTATAAATTGCTGCATCATTTTGGGCAGCCACAGATGCTCTACCTGTTGGGATTCCAGGGTGAGGTTTGCCAGAGAGGCATTCATCATTGTTTTTGCGCGCATCAGAGCAGCTCGGCTGAAAACGTGCATGCTCACCTTGTGCTTGCTTGTATTTTAGTGTTATAGAAGTTTATCAGAGGCTCTTTTTGGTGATAGAAAAGCAGAGCTGGGTTGCCCAGAGGTCAAACCACCATAGATCCTTTGGCATCCCGGATAAAAATGTGAAAATCTCCAGGTAATGCTTTTGACTGACACACTTTCAAACTGGATCATCACAAGGAAATAGGAACCTTGGAGCTGCGTGTGATGTCAGAGGGGTCAGCAGCTTCTACTAAAGAGTTTTGAGGAATTACACAGCCATGCCAAATCAGGGTTCGCTTCAGGCTGAGAAGCAGTGGATAATATTAATGTGGAACTTCTAACAAGGGTGCAGAATTTAAAGAGGGAAATGTACTCTTTAGGATGAGTTTCACGTCTCGAGGATGCAAACGGTGTCGAGGGAAGAGTTTTCCGAGGCCCTGGAGGGACTTTTACAGTTAGCAGAAACACTCTTGATGAAACGTTTGGAGTTATTTCCACTTTAGCTTTGAGATTTCAAAGCATTTATGTCCAACGACGTGCCTGTGCTGATAACTCACAGCCAGTTGTGACAAACAGCTTTAGTTTCAGGAGGCAAAAGATCAAACACTCGCATCACTGCCTCGTCTGTGTGGATTGAAAGCATTCATGAGAGATTTTAATACAAAAGTTTCTCTAAACATTATTTACCGGACAGAGTTGAGCTGACTAGAATTTTGAGCATTCCCGCGATTTCTATAGAAATCTGAAAAAGAAAGCTAGCTTAAGTCACATTACGTGGAATAATTAGGGGCATCCTTCAAATTTTGATCTTGATCTTGAGATTTCTCCACCGGAACGTTGTATTTCCTTCGTGTGCTTGTTTAGCTACAGGTGTAGTTAAAATCCCATTTATTTTCTTTGTTGTTTTTTCTTTTACTTGATGATGAAACTCCACCATATTTTAGCTCATTTTAAAGACAGAAAAAAACATCTGTGAGCCATGATGCTGGAGGTTAATTCATGCAATAACAGATCTTCTCTTTGGATTTTTTTTAACTTTCAGGGTTATTTTTCTACATCATGACATATTTAGAAAATGTATTCAGTAAATTATAGCTCCAAAAGATGAATCAGAGCTTCCCTTTAAAACTAGAATCGATGCATCTTAGAAAAGTTTTTTTGGGATGAATTCAAGTGTGTTTTAATTGAAATGAGACAGTTTTTAAATAGTTTTAGTCAATATTTTTCTACTTCCTGTTTTATTTTGAAATTGACATCCTTCTTTTTTCTTCTTACTGGGTCTTTTTTGCCTCCTGCATTTTCTATTGGGGTGATTATCCTGCCACTTGTTTCCAGCTAGTCCGTTTTGTGTAATCCCGGCCCTTGCGGACCACTCTTCTGTACATACTGAACCAATAGGTGATTAACAGACTCCTACAGACGCTGTCATGTCTGAAAAGTAATCAACCACTGAATAGCAGACAAAGAAACATTAAAAACATGCAGGGCATTGGCCATAAAACACCAGGAATGGATGCCACTAGTTTAACTTGACTTCTCAGCTTTTAGTCTTTTAGTTTTTATTCCACTTTCTTCTCATTGCTTTGTCATCTCCAATCATCTGCTCCTTTCAAGTTGTTTAGATTTTTAAATATTTTCATTAATCTTATTTATTTCTTAATTTTTGTCTGTAATTTATCCTTTTAGACTTGAAGCGTGATTGACTTCTGTTGTGTTTACCTCCATTTGCCGACTGCACACTACATGCAACAGTCACATCCATCTAGATTTGCTACATTTAGCTGCACACATGCATATAAAACACACACAAGATAATAAGTTTCAGTTTGAACTGGTCCAAAACTCTGCTGCTCGTATCATCACAAAAACACCCTCCTCTAATCACACTGCCCCTCTTACGCAGCAGTTAGATTGGCTACCAGTAAACTATAAAATGCTGCTTCTCAAAACCATTCACAACCATGCCGCCTCATATCTCTCGTGCCTTTTACGAGCATAAAAGAGGAGCATCGGAGCGTTTTTCCCAACTTACAAGGCATTCATTTATACTAAAGACTGCAAATGTATAAAAAAAAAACGAGTGAACTTGGTCTTTAAGTGCTAGCAGTGCACAATAAGTTTTGTTGACTAGACGACCTGCAACGCGCGACATTGTAGGCATTTCAAAATATATATCAGCCTTGCTTAACTGATTTTTCAAGTGTCCACGCTTATCTAGCACCATCACAAGGATCTAAATAAAGCTGTGTCAGCCTGGAGGTGTGTGGATGTTCAATGGACTGTGAAATCTAGCATTGTCACATCACTGCTGCAGGGGGGAGGAAAGTGAGGCGCTGCTCCGCTCAGTGGATTTTATGCTTTATTGCGCTATACCACTTTAACTTATCTGTAGTCAACATCTGCTCAGAGAAGCCAGTGCACGTTGTCTTTTCACACGGCTGTGGAGGGTTCCTGAGCTGTAAAACAAAGCGTGTGGTTCTGCAGTGCTGTTCTGCAGGTCATACGTGGGAATATGAGCGCTAGCTGAGTGATTAAAACTGCATTGTGAAGAAAAGATGCACTAAAAGTAGAGAGTGAAGCATCAACAGAGAAAATGTGTAATTAACCAGCTCCTGCCACCTGGACACACTGCTGGAGGTGGATGTCTGTAAGCAAGAGACCACACACACACACACACACGCACGCACACACACACACACACACACACACACACACACACACACACACACACACACACACACACACACACACACAGTCACATCAGCTCAGCTCTCATGATTTCAGTTCAGTCTCTCTCTCTCTCTCTCTCTCTCTCTCTCTCTCTCTCTCTCTCTCTCTCTCTCTCTCTCTCTCTCTCTCTCTCTCTCTGCGTAGCACCATGATGTAAAACACTGCAGTTTGTTCAGGCGCTCAGTCGGAGCCGGTCACCCGTACACTCAGAGTTTTCCCCTCGCTCAGTCTGCCTCTGTGCTCAGCACTCGCTGCTCCTCGTCTCCTCATCGCATCTGTCTCTGACGTGAGGTGCCATGCATCCTTCTTTCCCATCTTCCTCCTTTCTGCTTTTCCATCACATCAGGGTCCCTTTATCAAACAGATCTCTCTTGCTGCAAAGCCAGGGACCATAAGCAACTGCTCTGGAACTTCCTAGAAGAATTTAGAGACAGGACAAGGATTTTTTTTTCTTCATTGAAGGACACTCTGCTTTGCTGGGATACAAATCTGTGCAGGACCCCCGATCTTCTTGTAGATACAGATCAATCCTTCTCCAACTTGTTTTGGAGTCAGAGTTCATCTATCCAGCCACGTGCATCCTTCTGGCAGGCGGCTCACTCTGTAAGAGCACTTATGTTAGTTAAGATGTTTCTTGTGGGTCTCTCTGTGTTGCAAATGGAAGCAAATGCATTCATTTGTGCATGGGCAGATTTTGTCTGCAAAAGCATGACCTTCTTCTTGAGATGTGTGACGTGAGTGTGAGTGACTATGTGCATGTGCATGTCCACAGTCAAATGTGGTGGTGCAGCATTACTTTTTTGGCTCTGGGTGTTTGACTAAAAGGTTTAGTGGTGATCGGAGGGCAGGAAAGACCCCTTTGACAGCCACCGCTCCTGGCAGTCTGACTGAACACGAGAAAGGTTCAGTGTCAGAGATAAGTAAACAAAAATAGTCCAGAATCAGAGACCACAGTTGAGTTTGAAAAGTGGAAAATATTCCCAAAGAGGTGAAGCACATATCTTTAGACAGGTGAAAAGGAGAAAAATACAGGAAGAGACAGGAAAAACTGGGGCACCGTTGAACTCATTTGCCACGTGGAGGATGCTTAGAGATGTGAGCAGGAGGCGTTAAACAGGGAAAAATAGCTTTCTGCATGTTTTTCTTACTTTTTTTCTGGTTTAGCAAGATAATTTCTCTCTTCTTAGTAAAGTGTTCTCCACTGAACCCTATAAGCAACTCATTAAGTGCTTTTTCTTCATCCTTCTTCCATCTCCATCCTCTCTCTTATTTTCAGGTGCAGTCAGATCAGCTCAGGATCTTCATCCCAGCTCTGCGTTCGTTGACCAAAACTGCACTGCTGATTATATCCATATGTGACAGGTTGCATGAGTTTGAGATTCTTTACTCAAAAAGAAGGTGACTAATCACACAACCGCATCGCTATCTCCTGTGATTTCCATATGAGATCCAGCAAGCGTAGGCAGGATTGCCCTGGACTTCTCACGTTCAACTTTACGTAACAAAAACACAATCCAAGTTCCACAGACAGAAAACACTGGCTCAGGTGTTTTAAGGACATTAAGAAAGTCCTGTTTTATTTTTTGGAGCAGCTAGTGACCTTAGAGCCATGCAAGTGTCGTTTGCATGTACAGACCACGGCCTGAAGGCCCCACGCAACGGGGAGCACAGCAAGCAGAACGCCACAAGCCCCAACACGACCAGCCATGCCCGCGCCCGCTTCCGCACAGTGGCTCTGATCGCCCGGAGCCTGGGCTCCTTCACCCACCGTTACCACCACAACCTTAAGGAGTCCACAGCCAAGCTTACCGGCATGAAGTACCGGTACGTAAACCGATGAAAACGGGAGGGGAAATAAAGGTGCGGATGTGCAGGTGGCAAGCTGAAAATGGGAAAAGTTTATAAAATGAATATGAAGATGCATGAGCAGTTGCAGGTGATGAGTGGGATGATGTGTATATGAATGTGTGCAAAAAGGAGAAAAAATAACATTCTGCAAGGTGCAGAGAGCATTTTAAAACACTGGGAGACCCAAGAAAAAAGAAGATATTTATTGATGATCTATTTGTGCTAATGTGAGTAAAAGCACAAAAACAGAAGTTTCTGCTCCTGTCTGGGTCATCTCAGGGTAGCTGGTTTATTTTCTAGAGGTCACTCGGAACCTTGGTCGGGTCAGAGGGTCGCACACAGGCACCAACGGCCAATTCACAGCTTCCAGAGGACAAACCCTGGCTTACACCCAGAGAAAACTCACACATTCATGGAGAGAACATCCAAACCCCTGCAGTGGTAACCATCTGCTCCACGGTGCAGCTCAAACTAACAGAATATTAAAGTGAAACCAGGCATTTGCCATTTTGAACTTAAATGTCTTAGTCTAAGTCTCTGACTATGCTGCAGACAGTTGTCAATAACTTACCCACAGCACATCCTGGTTAGTGTGACAGCAAAGCTGCGCGGTGGAGCTCTCGGCGTGTGTCTGTGTGGGAGTTGTACCAAAGCCGGGCCAAGTAAACAATGCTTTCTTATCTTGCAGAGGAGGCTCTTAACCCAGACCGCAGGGGCTAAACAGTCACCTTTACCTCGCCATGTTCACTCAACGGAGAGTCCAACAATGCCGCGTTGGGATCAAAAGAGACAGGATGAGATGGAGGGAGGTAAAGAAGTTAGAAAGAAGGAATAAAGAGAAAGAATGAGAGACAGATTCTGGTCCATTCAGAAAAGGCAGATTTGATGCAGAGTGGCTAAACTGTGATAGATGTATGCTGCTTGTCATTCAGTATTATCTCGTTTCCATGGCAACAACAATATGGCCATCTTTTATCTATTCACAGAAACTATAGCTGCCTGTTGACTCCCAGTGTGTCACTTCTTTTTCTTTCCTGTTTGGGAACGTAATCCCCTGATAGTCTTACAAACACCTGGGGAGAATTTTAACAACGTTGCCTCGAGCCTTTTAGCGTGCAACCCAGTTTAAGCACCAAGAATTAAACGCCGCGTGGCATTTCCTCCTTCCTCTGAACATCTGACTCAAGGCTTTTACAGTAGATACTCGTGTAACTTTGGATTACACCTGACAGGGAATCTCTCCCTCTTGAAGCGAAGCCAAGTTCACGACTAAATCTGCCTCGTACAAATTCTTTGAAGTTTCCTCCGAGCGTTAAACGCATCTCACAGAGGTTTTTATTTTAGATCAGAGACGAGAGCGTGTGCGTTTGTGGGCGATTGCACTGGCACATTAATTTAAGTGTGTGTGTATGTATGTCATAGAACATCTGAAGGCGTAACAAGTTGGAGCAGAAAAAAGTGTAGAGCACAGCCAGCCTAAACTAAAAGTATCACCACCCTCAGCATTTTCGTTTCCATGGAGACCCAAATATAGTGTACTTGTAATTGCGGTGTCTCCCGGTGGAAACCTTTCAGAGACGTTTGATCATTTCTTTCTCCTTACAAACCCCTAAACAGCTAATCGTAATGAAACATGACGTCTCTGCAGCTTGCTCTGATTGTTTCAGAGATTCTGATGCTCCTGGATGGAAGTTTTTAGCGGCCATTAAGCAGCAGAAGGCCTTTTGACAGTCCAGGCGGTTCGGGGAAGGTGGCTTTGAGTCGCACTGCAGACGGACGTGCAACAAAAACCCTTCTCTTGGTTCCTTCAGATACAAGCTTATCAGCAACCAGCAGAGAGCGAGCTTGCTTCTGTCTGTGTGTGTGTGGACAGTGTGTGAGCAACGCATAAAACAGCCACATTAGGTGTTTTCTTTCTGCAAAAGCAACAACCAGAAAATGTGTTTGACGCTGATCATTTAAGGGTTTCGTTATGCAGCTGCAGACGCCTGAGCTGAATGAAAGTTTTAGACTTGTAGTTTTTGTAATTAGCCTCAGAGAGAAAATCCTTCTTGCCTTCCTGGACGTGTGTGCGGAGCCTCTGCCCTTATCGGTTTAATTAATGCTAATATTTTACTCTTCTGAGCCCCTCTATTTAATAAACCAATGAACCATCTGGCCTCACAGGGAAAGTACAAGCGGAAGTGAGTTTTGCTAAGCACTGTGATTTCTTCCAAGTCTTCTGAATTATTAAGCCTAAATTGGTGGATTTTCTTTTTAGTTTTTTTTGCCCAGGCATTGCAAGTCTGAGTCTTAAAATTTCTGATGATTTGCATGATTTTGGTGTGAAAGATGCATTGTTTCTAATCGTCTCTATCAAGAGCCCTTTCAAAGAATTTCCCTAGATTTTTATTTTTACATTTTAAGCAGAAGATCGGCAAGACGTTCCCTTTAACTCCTGCTATGACTCATTTATTCAAATAAATAAACCTGCAGGCTTTACATGCTGCTCTGACCACAACTTTTTTTTTTACCTTTATTTAACCAGGATAGAGACCCATTGAGGTTAAGAACCTCTTTTACAAGGGTGTCCTGGCCAAGAGGCAGCAAAAAATACAAACAGTTACAATGTAATGATAATGATAAAACACTCAATCATTAAAAGCAGTTACAAGTTACTAATGCAGTCTCTGAAGCTTTCAGTTTGGTTTTAAAGGCATTTAGTGAAACCTGCTCAGTCATTTTCCAGGTTTTCTGCAGCTGGTTCCAAGCAGAAGGAGCAGAGCAGGCGAAGGCTTTCTTTCCTAACTGCGAGCAAAAGGAACAGAAAGTAGCAACTGATCGTTAGACCTTAAAGAATATGAATCAACATTTTTTCGTGTGATTAAAGTGCAAATATAAGGAGGTAACAATCCAAACACTGCCTTGTAAATAAAAACATACCAATGATTTTGTCTTCTTATTGCCAATGACGGCCATTTCACTCGTGAATATAATTCACAGTGATGTGTTATGGCTCTACAGTTTGTGATGAATCTCAGAGACGCATGGTAATCCGAGTCCAGTTTTTGTAGCACAGTTAAAGAAGCATTCATATAAATAAGATCACCATAATCTAGTACAGATAAAAAGGTAGTAGTGACAAGTTGCTTTTTTCCTTCAAAAGAAAAACATGACTTATTATGGAAGTAGAAACCCAGCTTTAGTTTTAATTTTTTCACCAGTTTATCTATATGAGATTTAAAGGTAAGGGAGTTATCTATCCAAACACCTACGTACTTATACTCAAGGACCATCTCTATGACTTTCCATTCCAATGTGATTAGTTTAGGAACACTATTCGGTATTTGCCTACTTGTAAAAAACATCAACTTTGTCTTCTTAGCATTAAGGGTTAGCTTTAGCTGATGCAATGAGTGCTGGACAACTACATCAGATGCAAGTGTTCAGATTAGGTTTAATGTAATTTTAAAATAATTTTCCCTGTGTACTTTTTGAAGTAACCTGGAGGGAGCAAGTGTGTCCAAACGCAGACCCGTGTGTGTGAATTTGCATGACTTCATGCATGTCTGCCCTCACACAGCTGATTATGGTGCTGCTCCTCTGAGACGCTCTGTTTGGCAGCGTGTTTCCCCCCATCCTCATCAACCTTAGATAAAATAAATGCATTTCATGTCCCAGCACCATTAGCTTCAGCGCTCATCTCAGCTGCTCTGAGTTTCTATTAATATAGGCCAACGTCATTGCACAACAGGAACTCTGCAGCATGGAGTTCAACTCTGCCTAGTGACCAAACAGGCCCCTGAGGATAAACACTGCACATTCTCCAAGTTAAAATGCCCCGAAGTTGCATGGACTGATGATATTTTAATTAAAGGTCAAAAGCAAAATTGCTCTCAGTTAGCATAATGGCTTATTTAAAGCGTTGTGCATATAGTTTTTGCAGCTTTCTTCCTAAGCGGCCTCCAAAAGACTGTGAGCAGGAAGATAAATGGGGGTGATAAAATGGAAAGAAAGCCTTGTGTGTGATCCGTACAGTAACATGAGTGTAATGATTTTTATTTACCTTTGGGGGGGTCTGATCAGAACTCTGATCAAACTTTTTTTTTTGGACAAAATTCTGTAAATGACTTTGTTTCCATGCGTGTTAATGAGGACTTTTTTATGTGAAGCTGTGATTTTATTATTTGTCATTTATCACAATATTTGTTTATTTTTTTATTTGTTAAAGAGCAAGTCACCCCCCCAAATCAACTTTTTTTTTGCTGATAAACTATATGAATGAGTGTCTAATCATGCTGTAAACACGTGTAGACAATAATTTTGCACTTATGTGCATCTTAGTTAAAATTTTAAATTTGTACCTAAAACTGTAAGTGTTGCGCCGTTGTCAGGTAAAAACTGTGCACTGCATTTAAATTTAATCTGCCATCGCTATTGGCCAAGAGGTACACTATGATGTAAGCTGGTACATTATGAGCCTAGGACAAAACAAATTTAACTCTAGAATTTCCCTTCAGCGCTTACTTTCTAATTTTTGTCTTCTTAGTGGTCCTAAAATCAGCACTTTCAAATCTCTGTATGTTTTATGCAAAGTAAACCAAAAAGGCACCGTGATCTCATTTTTCTTCCTGATAAAGTGTGTGTGCATGTGTGTTTAAGTGACTGGATTTATGAATCTTGTTCATACTGCATGATTGTGTTATCTTTAATAATCAGTCAAAACTCTTGATTCAGAAAAACCTGGTACATCTACATCACACTGTCACTTAAAATTCATGGACTCACACATCTTGACTTGTGACGGGGAAGGCTGTTGTTAACTGTTGACTGTTTGAAGCTAACCGTTAGCATTAGCAACTCCACCAAACAGCAGAACTCCTTCAGACTTGTGTTATTAGTGGAGGTAAAACATCAAGATTGAAAAGTAAACAAAGTCAGTGGTAGAGTCCCGTTGCTGTTAGCCAATCAGAGGCAAGATGTCCAACTATCAGGAA